TCAAATAATATACACCGCTACCTTGATATAACGTGACCCGATATAACACGAATTTGGATATAACACGGTAAAGCAGTGCTCCGGGGGGGCGGGGCTGCGCACTCCGGTGGATCAAAGCAAGTTCAATATAACGCGGTTTCACCTATAATGCGGTAAGATTTTTTTTGGCTCCCGAGGACAGCGTTATATCGAGGTAGAGGTGTATTTATAAGAGCCCTTATTTCCCCTTTCACCTCTTTGGCTAACATTCTGCCTTGTTTTACTGCCTGTCTATTCTGCAACCTTTAGCTGACAGAGCAACAGCAAGCTGTGCTCCTAAGCAACGCTACCATAAACTGTGTTTTCCCATTGGAGGAGAAATGAATGCTATGAGGGAACAAATTTCAATTTCAACCTGCTGACGGGTAATTTATGAACAGGGAGATCAAAAGCGGAGTTTGAGGGGGAAAGTTGCTTAACACCATGTTGCGCCTCCCTCCACTTCAGTTTACAGACCAAATTAGGTCTTGCAAGCAGCAAGAGGGAAATCCCCTATTGTGCAGGGCAAGTGCAGTCTATTACTGCACGCTCTCGATTACTACCTCTTCCTCCATTAACACCCTCCAATCATTACCTTAAAGTGACTGAGAATAGAGATCTCTGCAAGCTGAGCACGAGGGTCAGGGACATGTCCTCCAATAGCACATGCATGACCTTAAGGAGCTGCATGTGACCCCTGAATTTGCCAAGCCAATAAAGCTGTGAGGAAAGAAGTAGGCCAGGGAGGTGGGAGAGGAAGACAAAAGTTGCATGCAAAATGTGGGACAGTTACTGTGTCTCTATTACCCTGCATGAGCTTCCATTTTCCCCCAGACTGAATCTTATTGTTATTTCCTATCTATATATTTTTAAACCCTCAAGAAACCTGCTACAGACAAGGTCTATCAGAGATGTCACATTAATAAAGATTGGAAAGGACTGTCCCACATCAGCCACTCCAAATTCCCCTCCCAAAGCAACAACTTATGTTTTCCATAAGTTAGTCTCACCTTACAGGCTATCGCGTGCCATGATCCCCCCCCTGCAAATAAACTCATCTTCTGAGCTTGAGCTCTTCATCCATGGGAAAGTTTGACTCGAATATCCAGGGAATACAGCTAAACCTCCTACCCAAAATACTGCAACTGAAGCCCACACTTTCAGTCCTGCCATCCAGGATGCAAGAGCTTGTTAGTGATATCATAAACACAGGTGTGATATCCCTTAGCGATCTGATAGAAAAGCCAAGCATTAGAAGTCTGACTTAAGGCACCAATGGCTAGATTTACAAAACAATCAGGTGCCTGAAGATGCAGATAGGCACCTAGTGGGATTTTCAGAAGTGCCCAAACAGCTTAGGCACATAACTCAAATCAAAGAGTAATTCCTTTGTAAATCTGGCTCCAAATCAGTATTAAGGTAACTAAATAAATAAGCAAACGGAATTTCAAATCAGGGCACTTATTTAGATGCTGTAATATGGATTTAGAAACCTAACTTTAAACACCACATTTGAAAATCTTGGTCAGAAACATTATATATGAAACCATTCATTACGAGTGCGCGCTAGCCTTTTAAAACCAGTCGTGGTTTGGTTCCGTATTTAATCTCCATGCCTTCCCGTTCTAATCGGTTGAGTTTGCAAGTCAAAAAGAATATTGTTCTAACTGCCAGCTCTGCAAACTCCCCCGGGGACCCAAGAGTCAAGTTTCTCCCCCATGCTTCAGAAGTCCTCATCGGCAAGAGATTCTGCAGTCAAAAGAACTGACAACATGTTTAATGTGTGAGACAGAACAGAACCCTGCTTCTCCTCCTGTAGTGGCATCAGTCCTGCAGGATTAACAGGAGTCAAAACCTTGGCTTTGGCAGTCAGAAAGCTAGGACTTCAATACAAAGGACTGAAGGGCCACTTTTAGCAGATTTTTCTAACTGAAATCATATTGCAAAGTTTCCTCAAAAAGTTTGGACAAGTTCATATGGTACTAAACCAAAAGAGAGTTATTTCTTGCTGTCTAGTCGGGGTGTTATTTTTAGGGCTGGATCAGAAGTCAAAGACACCAGCAACTAAGGCAAGTCCCCAGCACAACCTCATCTCACCAGACCTCCTCCCCAGAGGGAGACGCCAGCAGCTCCTGCCCTACTCAGTGCTCCCCACAGCGAGGCATCAACCTACCAGTGGTGGTTTTTTGTTCCACACTTCACCCTCTTCTCCAGCGTGTCAAGCTAACTACAAGCACAAGTCAGAGGTTTTCAGTAACAGTCAAGTAGATTTCAAGAGTTGGTGGGGAAAAGAATTAAGGCAAGTCAAGACACCAGGGAAGAAATATTGTTAGTTGTGGTGGTGTTTAAGAAATTATAGGAATGCTTATCTCTTGAAGTGTCAATGATTTGTGTCCCCCACCCCCAATATTTTTTAAAAATAGAAAACCATTAACTAGAAATCTAATCAATTTAGACAGTAAGTTAGAAGTAAGGTAGATTCAGAATCTACACACGTTTCTGAGATGCCCTGCCAGCTTTTTGTGACTTTACAATCACATTTTGCTATATATACTATTACACATTTAAATTTTTTAATGAAATGTTTCCCTTCCATGTTGCTGTGTCCCACACAGACAGAAGAGGAAACCAACTGACCATTCAGGGAAACTGATTAGAGTTGTCAAATACTCAATGTAAATAAAGAAGCAAAAATTAGAATGTTTCTTTTCAGATTTCAAGTGTTACAAGTAATAGTAGGTTAAAAAATTCAAGCAGAAGTGTTATTTTTAAGTCAATAGTGTCACCCTAAGCTTTCCTCTGCATTATTGGACTCCCAAACGCAAGAAGATCTAAAGCATAAGTGTCAGAGATAAAAACTGACTATAGAGTGAAACTGACTAGCTCAGTTTCACTGAGTGAAGAGTAAAAAGAAACACACCCATTAGTGGGGAAAGCAAACAGATTTTTATCATTTTCAGTTTTTAATTACGGCAAGAGTAATAATGTAGGCAAGGTGTGTGTGTTGGGGGGGGGGAGAGGGCACGAGAGGGGGGATGTTCCAATCACCACCACTGCTTCCTAAAATTTTTCAAAGAGCTCCCCAATTTTTACCAGGGCATCCAGAAAACCCCAGGAAGATTCTCCCCACAATTTTTAAACTATTTCTGTGGTCCTCCCATATGCTGTATCTTTCCAAAGAAGATAACGGGGGCATCCTATTGCAGTGGTTCTCAACTTTCCAGAATACTGTACACCTTGAAGGAGTCTGATTTGTCTTGTGTACCCCCAAGTTTCACCTCACTTAAAAACTACTTGCTTACAAAATCAGACATAAAAATACAAGAGTGTCACAGCCACTATTGCTGAAAAATTGCTTACATTCTCATTTTTACCATACAATTATAAAATAAATCAACTGGAATATAAATATTGTACTTACATTTCAGTGTATAGTAGATAGACAATGACTTGTTTATACTGCTCTGTATGAAATTTTAGTTTGTACTGACTTTGCTAGTGCTTTTTATGTAGCCTGTTGTAAAACTAGGCAAATATCTAGAGGAGTCGATGTACCCCCTGGAAGACCTTGGAGTACCCCCAGGAATATGCATACCCTGGTTGAGAACCACTGTCCTATTGCACAGAACTTTGAGTGCTGCCACTTAGCACTTCACTTATGTTTCAACAGAGCTTTGAAGATGTGAAGCCTCTCAACACTCCTATGAGGCAGGAAAGCAAAGTATTAACCCCATTTTACAGATGGGGAAAGCAGACACAAAAATGTAAAGTCACTTGCCTAAATCGCATGAGTCAATGCCTGAGATAGGAGTATTAGATGCATTACTAAATCACCCATCTCCATAGCATCTGGGTATCAGATTAGACCAGAACTGAGAAATTCCTGACTCCCCATGCAAATTTGTTTTAAATACACTGGATGATATTCTGGCACCTCCATTCATTTATGATCCAGGATTGGGATTGTTAGGGGAGCAATAATGCAATAAATTGGTCTACAGGGTGTCACTCAGAAAGCAGAATATGCTGGTGCACTGCCACCGTTTCTGCCGCCCTAGGCGGCGGGAAGTCCCGCCCTGAAATGCCGCCCCCCACAGAGGCAGCAGAAGGTCCTGCCGCCGAAATACCGCCGCAGTTGCCGCCCCCCAAATTGTAGTGCCCTAGGTCGCCTAATGGGTTGCGCTGGCCCTGAAAATATGGCAGATACTAACTCTTACCGGAAAAATCTGTTAACTTCTGCTACAAAGGTCACCACCACCAGATTTTAAAAGGAGAAAACTGGGGACTCTGCCTTTTTTTTTTTTTTTAAGTCTTCCCTGTGAGACAAAACATGACTATGCATGAAGAAACAGATATGGAAATGACACTGTCATTGGGGATGAAGTGGAGTCTTTAACTATGCCATGAAGAGGTAGAGTTACTCCATGAATTCCAGAACAAGCAGCGAGCCTCAAAGGACCACCAATATAGCACCTGGGGGCATCTAGCATACTGACATGTGAAGAGGAGGGGAGGCAGCATCAGGACCCTTGTCATATCTAAAAAAAAACCAACTACAAAACCTTTTCATAGCCACTAAGTATGCTGCTATATTATCACATACAGACCAAAGGGGAAGGGGGGGGCGGCGACGATGACGAATGAAATACCACTGTGGTGGGGAGAGAGAGCAGGTAGATGTGGGGGACAAACATCTGGGAGTGGATGGGGGGGAAGGAAAGAAGAAGATTGACAAGAAGAGAACATCCCCACAAACACGTGCTCACACACCCCAACTTTTACTATCCCATTGGTGATAATCCCTCCCTACCCCAAGCAGCATCTCATGCACTTACGTCTAGTCCCCCCTTTTATTTAGTTGTATCAGACCCCCAGACTAAGGAAGGCCCAAGTCATTTGAGAGTTACGTACCTCCAAGAGTCGACAGGCAGCGGGATTTTGGATACATCTAACTGGGCCTAAGTTATTTAAATAAGAGTTACCTTCAGGAGGAAAGTTTTAGGCTTGGGTCCTCTCTTCTTGGGCCCATACAGCTCACGCTCTCGTTCCCTTTAGGGAGTCAAATTTTAGAAAGTTAAACTTTTTCTTAAGGGAAAAAAAAAAAAAACCACACACACATACATTTTTTTGGTGTAGCTCAGATGTCAAATAAACAAATGTGCTTTCCCCTATTAAACTCACTTCTGCTCAAAGGCTGCAATAAGTCGGGAGTCCAGGATGTTCTCTTCAGGTTCCCAAGTGCTGTACCTGCCAAGGCACAACAAAATAAACAAAACACGAACACCCGCATAAAAAAGGAGAAGGGGGGGAGAGGAGGCAACCCCAGAGTACAGTTTGCGGGCATGGAAAAGGGATGCATATCTCAGAGCAGATTTGGGGAAAAACCCTTTACACACACATATACACACGCGCGCGCTCACACACACACACACGGAGAAATACTCAAACAACTCACTTGATGGCCCAGCCTTTCCATTTCACCAGGTACTCGATGCGCCCCTGCAAAACACAGATGGGGGGGGGGGAGGAAAGAGAGAGGGAGGGAGGATTAGCGAAATGGCCATTGCAACAAACCCACGGCAGCGGGGGGCCGGGGCCAGGCTGGGCGGCTGCTCACCTTTCGGATCCGCCGCTTGATGATGGATTCGGCCGCGAACACTCGCTCCCCCACTGCAGACAGCTCCATCTTGCTCAGCAGCAGCACCCACAGCCCATAATAATCCCGCCCGCTTCTCCCTCCTTCCCTCCCCCCTTCTCAGGCTGCCGCCACCGCCGCCGCTGCTACTCGGGCTGCACCGGCTCGCGCACGCTCACGCTCGCTCTCCGGCCGCGCGGCAGCACGTGACCTCCCTCCTCTCTTTCTCCCCCTCCCCCGTGCACCGTTACCAGGGTCTCCCCGGCGGCGGTTGCTAGGAAAAAAAAAGGAGGGCGCAGGCGCGCGGGCTCTTAAAGGCACCGCGCGCGCGGGCTGCAGGGAGGGAGGCGCGAGCTGGGTCGCTGCTTGGGCGGCAAAGCGCAGGGCCGGGGAAGAGGCCTGGGGGTGCAAAGAGCAGGGCAAAGCACAGGGGCTTGGAGTGTAAACGCGCTGAGAGGGGGGGGGACAGTTTTAGATATACAGCCCCCCTCCCTCCGCTCCTGGCTGCTGTGAACCGGTTGCCAATGGGGCTGCCTTCCCACCAAGAGATCCCGGATCCCAGGGTCAAGGGGGCAGGTGTGTGGACAGTCCCTGCCCATCCCATCAGTGCAGTTCGAGGGACCTGCCGATAGCACGTTGCTCAGGAAAGGTCTGGACACAGCTCAAGATAACAAGACTAGCCCAAGTTATAAGTAAGGCATCAAAGAACCAAAACATGTTTGGGAAAGGATGGAAACGCCCATGCTTCAAGACATAAGCTGCCCACTGAAGAATGGGGGCCAGGAAGAAAGTTTCCCTGAGATCAGGTTATCCTATAACACCCACCACAGGGTTTCTTTCCCTTTCTCCTGAAGCAGCAGCTAGTGCTGGCCACTGCCAGGGACAGAATGCTGCACTACATGGACCACTGGTCTGACCCACCCTGGCAGTTCCTTTCCCATTGTCCTTTTCTCATAGTTAAAGCCCATTTTCCTACTGCACAGCAGGTGAGACCTAACCATGTTCCCTTGAACTAGCCAAGGTTCTAGTTTGATTCTTGAAGCACAATTAGGTCCCATCGGCTCTGTTACACTCACTATTCTGTTTGAAATCAATAGGGTGCTCAGAATTAGAGCTTATCTACACACAGTTGTACCACTATAACTATACCACTATTGGTAAAGCAGTAACAGCCACTACTGTGGATGTAATTATAGCTGCCTAAGGGTGCTATACTCCTATAGCTTATTCCCATATGGAAAGGGGAATAAGCTTTGCCATATATGTATCTTTATGCGAGTATAATTGCATTCATGCTATGAGTTGTACCATATAACTTAACTGAAATAATTAAGTGTGTAAATCTGTATTATATTGGTACAAAAACTGTAGACCAGGACAGTGGGTGGGTGTGTTTCACCTCAATATACAAAGAAGCAGAGATAGTCCTAGGCTCAAACAATGCAAATGACCTCTTGAGGTCCTGCATTTTTAGAGGGTCCTCCCCCCCAGCAGCTTCCACTGATTAAGCAGTTTTAAGGCCACTTCAGGCTTTTTTCCAGAAACAGCTAGAGAGGGGGAAGAAAAATCACAGTCTCCCTCTCTATCCCAGCAATTTGGAATCCAGTCAATCCTAAAGTAGTGTGTGCACAGAACATTTGGCAGCAAAGACTATGGATTTACTTTTGGGTGCCTAGTAGGTGCATTCTGTGTTGTACAGAATAACAGCAATATAGGACTGAAAGGGATCCTGAGAGGTCAGCTTAAAACTCACTTTCCATTTTTAAAATTAATAAAAAAAAACCTAACCTGCTTGAGATGGTCCAATAAGGGAGGTGTCAGAAAATGCCCTTACTGCCCTCACTAAACATGATCCCTCTGCCCTGTTCATCATACACATATGATTTCCATCTCTCCTAAGCCAATAGCACTACTGCACATTCATCCCATAGGCCAAGAGGTCAGCAGAAATAGAAAGAATGGAACTGCAGGATTAAGGGGGAAAATGACAACACAGAAACAAGCCATTAGTTAAATGTCAGTTCTCATATTTAATATTTTTAATAACTTTGCAACATTTACCACATAAATCATCTAAATAAATAGATGCTGTACAGTCTCTTATCCATATCAGTACAAAAATAAAACCACACTTTGCATCAAATTGTAACTAGACCTGTCCTCCCATTTGTATTACAATCTCCATTTACAACAAGCACTCACTCAGAAAAGGCATTATACTTAGGGGTCTTTTGTTTGTTTGGAATTGATTCGTTCCCTCAGCCCCCTCTGCCCAAATACATTCAGTTAGTCTGTACAAAAGCTAGAAGCTCATTCTGTGCAAAGGAAGCTTTCTTGTGCAAAGACTCAGGTGCTCTATCATGCCAAGAATAAAAAATAAAGTAACCTTCCCCAACCCTATCCTTGGTGGAAAACAAGCATATAAAATAGGCAGTAAAGTCACACAACAGTCTTAGAAGAACCTAGATCAAGCAGTGCAGGAGCATGGGAAAGAAGGTCGGTGCTGAAAAGCTGGGAGGATTGGGGTTTCTCCAAACACAGGTGCCTGCTACTAAGTAAAATGCCCTACATAGCCAGCTAAAATGTTCAATTTAGATTTTTTTTTAAGCCTAAACTGTGATTTTTTTTAAAGCAAGTTCCTTTGCACCTGTTCTGTTGGACATGAGGTGAGACAATAACCCACTGGAAGAGTCCAGCCACTGAAAACAGCTGTTGGGTTATCCCTACCCCAAAGAGGAACACATGCCTCCCATCCCCAATAAGCCACTAAAGTGCAATTTGTCCAGAAAAGGGAACTAAAAAGATGTCTCCAAAACTAGAGATTGAAGAAACCTATTGGATCACATCTCAGCCATCTCTAAACACTGGGACTACTGAACATGGGAACAGAACCTAATAATTCCCCTATATACAGCAAGTGGTGGGGGAAAACGTGTTCTGAAGGTGGATGTGGAGTTTTAAAGTCTCCTCCCCTCCTTCATTGTACCCTTCTTCACTTGGGATGCCTGGAATGGCAAACTCACCCTACAACCATAGAAGGGATGCCAAGGGCTGGCTGACAGCTGTGGAAAGGAGATAAGGAATAGCCAGTGGTCTGAAATGGATACATCTTTCCCTTTTCAAATGCCACTTTTTAAAAGAGGCAATAAGAGTACTCAGCGCTCCTAGTGCTTTGCATCTTCAAAGTGCTTCAAACATACTTAGGCCTTGACTTAAGAAAAGCCAAAAAGCAGACTAACATTTTTAGATTTCAGAGAGTTTTTGGTGCTACCTCTACATTTCTGGTTAACACCCGTCCAACCCCCTCCAAAACCTTAATCCCGGTCAAGCCTCTGGCACTAAAATGAGACAGAACAGATAGATTTTCAAAGGTCAGGTTTCTGACCATCACTCAGAGCCCCCCCACCCCCACCCAAATATGTCAATCTGGCACTTCCAGCACCCACACAGTTGTGGGAGAGGAGCGTGCCTCTTCTCTAAAAAGACAGGCAGGGTAACAAGTGGCCTACAATTAATGAAAGCAGCAAATCCTCTCTCTGAGCCTGAGCTTTCTACCCATCCCATTTGGCAAGTACAGTAATTCAGTCTCCCATTCAAATACCAGCCACTACCAGCTTCCATTATTGGGCTCAGTCGCTCTGTGCTACTTCTGATCATCCAGAAGCTATTTCCCATTCAGAAATCTGAAGTGGCCAAATCCCCAGGAAACATTCCTTATCCTAAGGAAGAGTCTGAAATAGATGTTAGAGGAAGATATGAGATTCTGAACTAATGCTACGTCTGCCCTTCCCCGCCAGTGACTGTTCTGATGAGGTTGGCAACCTACCCCCTGCTTTACAAATGCTCATCTCTTGGGCAAGTCCCACAACCACTTCCACCTACCTAATAGCTTAGGTTTCAGCTGAGTGGTTAAATAATTTGGGACAGCCATTCTCCTTGTGTGTGAAGGCTACAGCCCTGGCTTATGGGCATTTGAGCCTGGCGGGGCAGAGGACAATATGGACCCTCTGACATGAGAGAGAACTGATTTTAGACCACTGTGCTCTGGCAGATATTGGCTTGAGAACATGTACAGTGCAACAATCTGTCCCTATCACCTGCATTTGCCAATGGTACATTTGCCTTTCTAATAACTGCTCTGATCTGAACTGTCCTGTCATTCTCCTGCTTGGCTCCCTCCCCCACAAAGACAAGTCTGTGTTTTCCCTCCCCCTGAAAGACCCAGCTACTTAACACAGAAGCAAACGACTCTCTCCACACATGCTCACTTACTCAGTACCCTTTCAGAGCACACAGAGGAGTGCCAGTTAATCCTTCTAAAATGCTGATGCAGGGCAGTGATGTCCTAAGGGGGAGAAGGAAGTGAAGAGATAGGAAAATTGTGCATTTGAATACACTGGGCTACACTGAACAGACATACTCCATTTCCTAGATACTCCAGGCACACCCCTGCCCCATACACATCCCCATCTAATATTCTCATCTTTTCACTCAGATGAAAAAAAGTGAACAAATCCGGGGCAAAACCAATAGCTGTGACAGGCTGCTGTGGAGTGCACAGAAGGAATTGGCCAGCTGAATGAAGCCATTAACTCCTGTCAGAATTGGGACTTACAAAGGATGGGAGCAGAAGTCTCCAACAAGAAAGGTTTTGGATTTCTCACTTTGGCATCTGATTTTATTAACGGGAAGTATCAGCATGATGCAGATCCTGGGAGGGCCTTGGGAGTTAATGAATGCTCCCTGCATCGCAATGCACTTTCTTCCTGAAGTAACAGGCACTCTACCCAACAGTCTGTCCTGAACAGTCTAGCAAGGGTATTATTGACAGTGGGGATACGGTACACAGATCCCGCACAACTCTGGAGTCCAAGGAATGCCAGACCCTACAAGTTAGGGGCCCCATTCATCGAGCAGCCCCCACACTGTCCCAGGAAGCTACTCTGCCCTCCTTCCTAGGCTGCAGGAAGAGTACATCGAATAGGGACAGAAGAGAAGGGAAAATATCACAATTTTTAGAAAGGAGGTTTGCTTCTTTCCTGCTTCAAAAGCATGAAATTAATGT